GGTTTACACCAATCTTTCACAGTGAGCCTCATGTAATGCTCATGGACCTCATTTAATCCTCATAGGAACAACCAGTGAGTGTTACAGAAAGCTTGGCACTTGTCCGTACGCCAGAGCCCGAGGCCAAATCAGAAGAACAAGGACCAGTGGTTTGAGAAGGAAAGAAGTTTATTAATTGACTGGCAAATGGGGAAGATGGAGACTACTTTCTATAATGCCATCGTCCTACTAATAAACAGAAATTCAGAGCTTTTAAAGTGGTGCTTTAGGCAATTGGTGTTCAATTGTAATCCATCCCATCTCCCGACCTCGACTACTTGGGAAGCCCACCTGGACCTCAAGGATCTCCACCTGCAGGGGATATAGGTGGGGCTGAACCATCTCCTGTAGCACAAAGAACAAGGACATTACCCTAGTCTCTCCTGACCACTAGCCTGAGGCAGGGATGTAGGTTTTAGTTCCCAATAGAGTGGGGGATGTTTTAAAGAGACAGAAAATATTTCCCCACCCCAGGCCATTCCTTCTGTTACCTAAGGGCTATAATTCCAGTTTGCAGAGTAGGAAATGGGTTCAAAAGCATGAGTTGTTCCAGTTGACATGCTAAGTCCACGTTTCCCTTACTGGGGTGTTGTCCAATGTATCTATCAACCAGGGATGTACACATTGGTGCACCTGGTTAAACAATGCCTGTTATAGGAGTCATAACTACTTGAAAGATTTTGGGGAAAGTTTAACTGGTAAATAATGTTAAAAATGATTAATTGAGGCCGGGCGCGGTGGCTCACGCCTGTAATCCTAGCACTTTGGGAGGCCAAGGCGGGAGGATTGCTTGAGCCCAAGAGTTAGAGGCTGCAGTGAGCTGTGATGATGCCACTGCACTCTAGCCTGAGTGACAGAGTGAAACCCTATCTCTAAAACCCTATCTAAAACTATAAAAAATTTTAAACTAAAAATTAATTAATTAAAAGACAAGGTTGGGCACATTAATGTTTGGGAGTTTATTTGCGCATCCAGCAGTTCATGAGTGGGGCAGGACTGCAAGCCATTCAGTGCGCCACTGAGGGGGAATCTCTTATAAGGTGTTGAGGAAGCAAAACAAAAAAAAGGTTGATTGGTTAAAGTGAAAAAACCCTAGTTAGATGTTAGTTGGTGGTTTCTGACTGGTTAAACTTAAGCTTTGTTTTACTATTTACATTGAGTTGGGTTTTAGTTTGCTAATATAGGAACCCAAGGCACTGGAGTCATCTCATCCTAATGGCCTCCGAATTAATTCTTCTTCTTCTTCTTCTTATTATTATTGGAGACAAAGTCTCCCTCTGTCGCCTCAGCTAGAATGCAGTGGCGTCACTGTAGCTCACTGCAACCTTGAACTCCTGGGCTTAGGCAATCCTCCTGCCTCAGGGACTTCAGGCACACATTACCACTCTGAATTTTTTGTAGAGATAGGATCCTACTGTGTTGCCCAGGTTGATCTAGAACTCCTGGCCTCAAGCCATCCTTGTGCCTCAGCTTCCCAAAATGCTGGGATTACAGGCTTGAGTCACCACTCCCGGCCCCTAACTTTATCTTTTTTTTCTTTTTGAGACAGAGTCTCGCTTTGTTGCCCAGGCTAGAGTGAGTGCCGTGGCATCAGCCTAGCTCACAGCAACCTCAAACTCCTGGGCTCAAGCGATCCTCCTGCCTCAGCCTCCCAAGTAGCTGGGACTACAGGTATGCGCCACCATGCCCAGCTAATTTTTTCTATATATATTAGTTGGCCAATTAATTTCTTTCTATTTATAGTAGAGACGGGGTCTCGCTCTTGCTCAGGCTGGTTTCGAACTCCTGACCTCGAGCAATCCACCCGCCTCGGCCTCCCAGAGAGCTAAGATTACAGGCGTGAGCCACCGCGCCCAGCCCTAACTTTATCTTTTAACAATATAAAATATTTCTCTGCTAAAATAAACACATCATGAAATTGAAGGAAAACGTTCACAAATTTGCAAGATCAAATGTGAAACTTAAAAGAAACATTGTGTTTCATGGAGGGCTACTTTGATCTGTGCCCCCAGACCCTTGGAGATTGGGGGCCAATTATCTTGTCTGCCATCAATGATTGAGATACAGTGATGGTGGAGCCAGGATTAACTTTTTTTAGAGATGGGGTCTTGCTATGTTGTCCAGGGGCAAACTCCTGGGCTCAAGGGCTCCTCTTTTGGCTGGGCGAGGTGGCGCGGTGGTTCACGCCTATAATCCTAGCACTCTTGGGGGCTGAGGCAGGAGGATCGTTTGAGCTCAGGAGTTCGAGACCAGACTCAGCAAGAGCAAGACTCCATCTCTACTAAAAATAGAAAGAAATTAGCTGGACAACTAAAAATATATAGAAAAAATAGCCGGGCATGGTGGCGCATGCCTATAGTCCCAGCTATTGGGGAAACTGAGGCAGGAGGATTGCTTGAGCCCAGGAGTTTGAGGTTGCTGTGAGCTAGGCTGATGCCATGGCACTCTACTCAGGGCAACAGAATGAGACTCTTTCTCAAAAAATAAAAAATGTGCCAGATGATTGCAGTCACTTAAAAAGTAGAAAACAAAAAAATAAAATAAAATAAAATAAAAATAAATAAATAAATAAAAAGGGATCCTCCCTCCTCATCCTCCCCAGTAGCTGGGAATACAGGTGCATGCCACTGCGCCCAGCTTAACTTTCTTCTGATTCCAGGTCCTATGCTTATGCCAGGTAGAAAACTGTCAGGATTATAAGAGTTCAGAGTATTTCAGTGTGGGCTTCAAGTGAATATCGGACAAGTGGAGGTGAGGGCCGGAGGGTAGAGCATTCCAGGCAGAGAGAACGTCATGAACAAAGGAAAGGAGGCGAGAAAGTGGGGCTGAGGCAGGTGAACAACGCTGGAGGGACAAGCTCGTGGAGGTGCAAAGGGGGAAATATGGTTAGAAAGGTGGATTGGCTTCCGGAAGTGTTACCTGGCAAGCACGTCTATGATGACATTAGCAATGGAGAGATCAGCTGGAAAGCTGGAGGCGAGAAGGCCTGAAGCAGCAGCAGAGGAAGTGAGGGGAAGGCTTGTGTGCAGGAAACCATCGGGACTTGCCAAACGGTGGGGTACACAGAGGATCAAGAGAGGGGAGTGGAAAGCCGCTGGCTGAACGTACAGCCCACCTGAGGTGCCGTCGGACATCCAGGTGGAGAGTTAGCAAGTACCTGGAGCTCAGGGCTGGGATTTGGTCCCGTGGATGACCTGCTGAGGGTGAAAATCATCACCTTGATATGAAAAGAGATAGATTGCCATCAGAGAAGGAGCCATCGGAAAGGTGGCAGGAGCCCCTGAGGGCACCTGGTCAAGACCGCCCTCTCCCCCTATCCCAGGCAAGTTTCAAGGTGGAGTGCTCAGCAGTAGTGAGAAATGCAAAGAGGTTGGAGTCGTGGTCACGCCGTGCCTGGCTCATAAATACCCGCCAGATGAATGAAAGGGGAAGAGCATATACGTTCAGGACAAATGACATGAAAGAAATAGTGGGAGAGTCTGAGTATTCAGAGAATAACAGCGATTGTTGCATTTGTTCCAGAAAATGGCTGGGACCTGTTCCAGGGCCTCGTCTAGCACTGAACGTTCGTTACTGGCTATTAGGAAGTTGCCACGAACTGCAGAGTGGAGGCTGGAATGGGTGGGGGTTTCATGTGTGACCTTGTGTGTAGCTAATTTGGGCCGTTTCCATTCAATCCCAACTTCTAGAGATTAAAGAAGATATATTTATACATACATAAATATATCATACCGCCAAATGGCTCACATAATTCCATTACAAATCACTTCTTTCTCTAGTGTATCTTTTTGTCCCCTTAGGAATAAGGAGGTGGGCAGGTTCGCTGGCTCACTGGCACTGTGACCTTCCCTAAAGCTCACTTCTAAGTTCTCTTTTAAAAAGTTTATTTAAAAAGAGTTTGTTGCTTCCTGAGAATTCCACCCCCAGACATTTCTTAATAGATTATTATTATTATTATTATTATTTTTTGAGACAGTCTCGCTTGTTGCCCAGGCTAACAGTGAGTGCCGTGGTTCAGCCTAGCTCACAGCAACCTCAAACTCCTGGCTCAAGTATCCTCTGCCTCAGCTCCCGAGTAGCTGGGATTACAGGATGCGACACCATGCCCGGCTAATTTTTTATATATTATAATTAGTTGTCCAATTAATTTCTTTCTATTTATAAGAGACGGGTCTTGCTCTTGCTCAGGCTGGTTTCGAACTCCTGACCTCGAGCGTTCCCACCCCGGCCTCCCAGAGTGCTAGGATTACAGGCTTGAGCCACCGCGCCCGGCCTAGATTATTATTTTTTAAAAACACGCATTTCTCATTTCTCTGGCTTAGAGAAAGGTCTTTCCCTTCAAATCTTTACGCTTTAAAAATATTATTCATTATTATTAAAAATATTACTGTGAATGGGAGAGGAGGCTGCCAGCGGCCAGGCGTTGGGGACGCAGGGCGCAGGCACACCTGGGCAGTGGGGGTGGGCGTGAGTGGCGGTCCCCGGCCTGTCGCCAGTGACCGCAGGCCGAAGTCCGGAGAGGGTGCGGGAGGGAGCCGGCGTCTGGCCCCTCCCCGCCTTCGATCCGGGCCGCCCCTGCCCTTTGAGCCGGCAGCTCCCGCGCTGGCAGGCTGGCCATGTGGGCTCCGGTCGGGCCGGGCCGCGGGTGACATGCTGCGGCTGCTGGCGTCCCGCTGCGCCCGGGGCTCGAGGGCCGGGGTGGGCGCGCGTCCTGCCGCGGGGCTCTGCGAGCCGCGGCGCGGCCGGGCCTCCGACGCCCCCCGGAACCAGCCCCCCAGCTCCGAGTTCGTGGCCCGGCCGGTGGGCGTCTGCTCCATGATGCGCCTGCCCGTGCAGGCCTCCCCCGAGGGGCTGGACGCTGCCTTCGTCGGGGTGCCGCTGGACATCGGGACCTCCAACCGGCCCGGCGCCAGGTAAGGCCTGAGAGGCCAGGGCTGGGGGCCACGTGGCGGGGCAGCTTAATAGCTGTCGGGCACGGAACCTCTGCTCACCCTGGGTGGCGTTGGAGGCTGGTGGCAGACTCCCAAATGCCCCTTATGATTTAAGGACAGTTGAGTTTCTGGCGCCTCAGGGAGCAGCCCCGAGAGCTCACATGGGAGAGCGCGTCCTCCCTCATCTTGGTGTTATCCATTGGTCAAGAAGGGGTTCTAGAGCCCAAACCTTCTCCAAGTCCCCATCCGAGGGCCTTGCTGGGTGAGTGTGGGTACCCCTGTTCCCACCAGCTTACAGCAGCAGGTGACCTTGCATTTGAGAACAGAAGCTGGCAGCCCCTTCCCAAAACCTCTAGATGTCACCTGACTCAAGAAATGCTCAAATCAAGGCAGTTTTCCTAAAATGAAGTTGGAGGAAGTAAAATCTATTTTTCTAATTATCGAACACCGGCGTATTCCTGGTTCAGCTCAGAAACATCACATCTGACTGTACTGGTCTGAATTGTGAAAGCCAGCATTTATTCGGTGTTTACTAAGTGCAGGGGGAGTTTTGCACAGATTGTCTCATTTAATTCTTACAACCACAGTGTAAGGTAAATATTATTATTTTACAGATTAGGAAACTGAGACTCGGGGAGATCATGACATTGTCTGATGCAATTTAGTATATTGGTGAGGATGAGTGTGGTCTCCTGAATCTGTGTCTTATTTAATCTCTTCCATATACAGCCTAGATCAGCGGTTCTCTAAGGGGGTGGTTTTGCATCCAGGGGACATTTGGCAATATCTGGAGGCATTTTTGGTTGTTACAACTTGGGGAAGGGGGTGCTACTGGCATCTAGTGGGTACAGGCCAGGGATGCTGCTCAACGTCCTACTATGCGCTACCCCAAGACAAGGAACCATCCAGCCTCGAATGTCAACAGTGCTGAGGTGAGAAGTCCTGGCCCGGGTGGGGCCTTTATACACCTGCAGACGGCTGACATGTGATTCTCCCTCCTCCAGATTTGGACCTCGGCGAATCCGGGAAGAGTCAGTGATGCTGCGGACAGTCAACCCGAGCACGGGGGCCCTCCCCTTCCAGTCCCTCATGGTCGCAGACCTGGGCGACGTGAACGTCAATCTTTACAACCTTCAAGACAGCTGCCGGCTGATCCGAGAGGCCTACCAGAAAATTGTAGCAGCTGGCTGTGTCCCTCTGGCTTTGGGTAACAGCAGTCTGCAAGGGCGGCTGGGATAGCTTTCTGCACGGAGGGTTTGTTTATCCTGAGCTTGAATACAGCTTCTTCTCCAGGGCCAGCCACTGCAAATGTGGAGACAGGAGGAAAGAGAACATTTTCATTCATTCATTTATTTTAATCACTGGGGAGAGGATATTTAAAACTTTGGAGTAGCATGACCGACAGGGCCGGACTAGGGTGAAGTAAGTGAGGCACTTGCTTTGGTGCAAAATTTAAGGGGTGCCAAAAAAGTCAACAAGCAAGATTAAACAGAATAAATATTCCTGATTTTTCCTTTTTGCTGTAGGCCCCTGGGTGACAGAGTGAGACCATGTCTCTAAAAAAAAAAGAAAGTAGGGGCTTTCCAGCGATTTCGAGAAGACAGTGTTTCTAATGACTTTATTTGCAAGGAGAACTGCAGGGGCATTTTTGTCCTGGTCAGGGTCCACATCAGTCTGTAGGGCAGCTTTCCCTGTGTCCCTCTCCTACCTGCCCCCTCTCACTGTAGCATGTCTTTATATATATGTATTCTATTTTTAGTTGCTTGGCTAATTTCTTATTATTTATAGTAGAGACGGGGTCTCGCTCTTGCTCAGGCTGGTCTCGAACTCCTGAGCTCAAGTAACCCTCCAGCCTGGGCCTCCCAGAGTGCTAGGATTACAGGCATGAGCCACCGCGCCTGGCCTGTGTAGCATTTCTTTTTATCTCATTCACAAATTGTTCAAATGACAGGGATCCTCCTCTAAATATCCAAACTTATTTTTGCCAAATCACAGGGCGTAGACTGTGTAGCATAGAGGTAGAAGTATGGTTTCTGGATGGCAGAGTTTGAAGTCTTGGCTCCACTGCTCACTAGCTGCACTATATGCACTGCTTGATGCTTCATTTCTCATCTGTAAATGGGAATGATTAACACTGCCCACATCACTGCATTGTGTGAGGGGCATATGATGAAAGTGCATATGATTTTTAGCCGGGTGTGGTGGTGTGCACCTGTAGTCCCAGCTACTCAGGAGGCTGAGGCAGGAGGATCGCTTGAGCCCACGAGTTGGAGGTTGCAGTGAGCTGTGGTGATGCCACTGCACTCTAGCCTGGGCAACAGAGTGAGACCCTGTCTCAATTTCAAAAAAAGAAAAATTGCATATGAAGTACCCAGCATCATGCCTTTATATATTTTAAACTTCAATAAATGTTAGCTATTCTTATTATTAATAATTATCAATAGGAATATGTTCCTAGGTCTTTGCTGTCCAAGATGATAGCCACAAGCCACATATGACTACTTAAATTAAAATTAATTAAAATAAAATACTCAGTTTCTCGGTGACACTCGCTACGTGTGTCACGTGACTAGTGGCTACCATAGGTTAGTGCAGATAGAACATTTCCATCACAGAAAGTTCTATTGGACAGAACTGTTCTAGGCATTTACCTATAAGCCTCAATTTGTCCAATTTCCTCTTTTATTTATTTATATTTTTATTTAAAAAATATTTTTTTCTTTTTATTTGTTTACTTATTTATTTCAGCATATTATGGGGGTACAAATGTTAAGGTTACGTGTATTGCCCATGCCCCCCGTCTCCCCTCGAGTCAGAGCTTCAAGCGTGACCATCCCCCAAACGTTGCACATCTCACTCATTGTGTTTGTATATACCCATCCCCTTCTGCCCCCTCCCACTTCCCCGACACCCAATAAATGTTATTTCTATATGTCCACTTAGGTGTTGATATTTTTTCTTTTTCTTTTTTTTTTTTTGTTGCATGTCTTTCCAAAGAATATTTTTTTTAATTAAAAAAAAAACAAAAAAACCCAGGCTGAAGTGCAGTGGCACAGAAACCTCAGCCTTCTGAGTAGATAGAACTAGAGGCATGTGCCACCATGCCTGGCCAATTTCCTCTTTTAAATGACAGTGACATCTTAAGCATCCCACCAATGAACAAGTTCTTATTTTAGGAACTGTGGTTACAGTTCCTCAGTCTAAAAGGGTGGCAGGATTGGGTAAATCTAATCGTATGTAATAATCCTACTTCTATGTAATAATCCTATCCACATGCCAGATGTTTTCTTCTTTTTCTCTTTGCAGGTGGAGACCACACAATCACATATCCCATATTGCAAGCTATAGCAAAAAAGTAAGTCCCAAACAGCTTGGCCCAGGCGAAGTTTCAAACTCCAGGAGCTGGGGAATGAGTCGTTTGCTGCTGTGTGGCATCGGGTGACCGCTACTGGCTCAGGTTGTTGGGGGTGATAGGACATTCCCAACTGAGTGGCTTCTGGGGATCAAAGTTAAGGTTGAACTCCAGGTGTCTCTGTCAGTCACCAGCTGGAAGCCAGGACAATTTATTATTAATACTTCTAGCCGCCCTCCCTTGCCCTAGATCTGTCGTGATATGCATGCTCAGCATTTCCAACCTGCCTCTGTGTTTGGAAGATGAGCCCCTAGTGAGATACACAACCCCAGTTAACTTCAGTTGCTGTTTTGTTTCAACTGCCAAATACAAATACTGACAGGCACAATGGGGGAGCTTGCTCAGGGGCCCTGTTTTCTCCCGAAAGGGCCCCTTTCCCAGACAGTGAGAAGACTCATTTTCCAGTAGTGGAAGTCTTACTGGAGATTGACTAATTTGGGCCAATTTAATTTGAGAAAGAGACAGAAGGGCCGAGGCGGAGGGTGGCAGCTCCAGGATTTGTATATGGCAGGAGCATGTGGGTAGCGTTCTGGTTGCAGGTGGGTGGGTACAGGTCTTTTCTCAAAGCTGCACTTGCCTCCCACTGATTTGGATCATAATGTTTATTTTGGGCAGGGGTTGATGGAGGTTACGGAGGGAGAGGTGGGTCAAAGCATCTTCTTGGTGCCACCGTTGGAAGAAGGGTGGCTGATTAGTTCAGCCTTCAGCCGAGCTCACCTCCCACCACCGCCCTTCATTCTCATCCCTCTGCCCGCTCTGTCTCTGAGTGAAGCAAATTCTGGGTGATAGGTAGTGGGTGGCAGCCAAAGCACATGTCTATTTTCTGCCTGACTTCTCTGAGTTTACTGTTCCTCTGAGATGCTCAGTGAGTTGAAGACAGAAACTGGTGGCAAGGCAGGTTATCGATGCCAGGTGCCCCTCTGTGGCTATGAATTGTCATCAGGGTTTGGTGGCCTGACGGGTGGCTGTGCTAGGGCCCCACAGGGAGGCCGGGCCTCTGAGCTGCCCTGCTGTTCCCAGGTACGGCCCCGTGGGGCTGCTGCACGTGGATGCCCACACGGACACGGCCGACAAGGCCCTGGGGGAGAAGCTGTATCACGGGACGCCCTTCCGCCGGTGTGTGGACGAGGGCCTCCTGGACTGTAGGAGGGTGGTGCAGATCGGCATCCGTGGCCCTTCCATGACCTTGGATCCCTACAGATACAACAGGAGCCAGGTGACAGACCGAACGCCCCTCCCGCTCGCCCCTGGGCCCTAAAGTGCCTTGCTGTCCATTGCCTGCCCGCTGGCAATTGTGGAGCCGACGGGCTTCAGTCACCAAATTCAGAGAGTGGGGATGAAAGGCTGAGTTTGCATCGGGAGGGTCACGTGGGGCAAAGAGCTGTGGGGAGGTTAGTTCATGAGGCACTTGGGGACAATCGCTGGGGGGGACAAGCAGAAACCAACCAACTGCTCGGATGCTGCTGGCTTGGAAAAGAGATGAGGAGGTTGGAACCCAAGGTGAGCTGCCACCTTCTTAGTTCTCATCATCGTGCCCACTAAGCAGAAGAGCTGTCAGGGAAACACCCAGGACAAGACCCCAACAGGAAAGGCCCAACTCCCTTGCTTTTAGGGCATCATGGCCAGTCTTCTGGACAGAGGCGTCCAGAAGGTGCTAGCAAGCTTCTAACTCTGACTCCGAGGTCCACCCTGACCCTTCTTCCTTACCAAGCATTGTCCCTCCCTTCCTCACCTGTAAAATGGGGACGGTAGTCCCCTCCTTGTGGAAAAAGAGGGCCAAACGTGACGTGCAGGCGAAGAGCTGAGCATGGGGGTGGCACAGAGGAGGTGCCGTGTCAGTGCTGCCACGCAGATGCCTTGACCTCCTGCTCTTCCATCCCGGCCTCCCCAGGGCTTCCGGGTGGTCCTGGCTGAAGACTGCTGGATGAAGTCGCTGGTGCCGCTGATGGGGGAAGTGAGGCAGCAGATGGGGGACAAACCCATTTACATCAGCTTTGATATTGACGCCTTGGATCCCGCCTATGCCCCAGGGACAGGGACCCCTGAAATTGCTGGTCTCACCCCTAGTCAGGTAAGGAAGCTCCACTGGTGAAGATTCCTGGGGGTGAGGGTACCTTACACCCCACTTTCCTGGCACTTGTAGTGAGTCTTCAGGAACCAGGATAGGATTTTCAAAGCAGAGCAGCTAGGCCACCAGTGTGCTCAGGGCTGATGATGGTAGTTTGCAGACTCCCTCATTGAGGAGTGACTGATTTTGGCAGACCCTTCACTTCTTTTTTTTTTTTTTTTTTTGAGACAGAGTCTCACTTTGTTGTCCAGGCTAGATTGAGTGCCGTGGCGTCAGCCTAGCTCACAGCAACCTCAATCTCCTGGGCTTGAGTGATCCTTCTGCCTCAGCCTCCCGAGTAGCTGGGACTACAGGCATGCGCCACCATGCCCGGCTAATTTTTTTATATATATATCAGTTGGCCAATTAATTTCTTTCTATTTATAGTAGAGACGGGGTCTCGCTCTTGCTCAGGCTGGTTTTGAACTCCTGACCTCGAGCAATCCTCCCGCCTCGGCCTCCCAAGAGCTAGGATTACAGGCGTGAGCCACAGCGCCCGGCCAGACCCTTCACTTCTTACCTGGCATGTATCGTAACAGTCCTTTATTTGGTCTTCCTGCCTCCAGGCCATGTGTAGTTGGCTTATGGGGACGGTATTATAGTACCCCTTCTTAACACTAAACTTAGCCTCTGGTAATTAATAAAGGCCTACGGAGGGAAAGCCAACAGTTCCAAGTCAAAGGGTGGGCACGTGTGGGAGCAACCCACTGAAGCCACTACTGGTCACTTTTCACTGTCACTGATTATTGCTGTGGACAGGCTCTGGAGATCATCCGGGGTTGTCAAGGCCTGAACGTGGTGGGCTGTGATCTTGTAGAAGTCTCACCGCTGTACGATCTTTCTGGTAAGTAAGTAAGAGGACTGCAATCTGTGGGCAGCTGCTAGTTTAAATTGTATTCATCTAGTTAATAAGCAGGGAATGGATGGGTCCCCTTATATTAATACAATTCGGGGAACCTGCTGAGCACGTCCAACAGTGAAGAAAATAAACCCATTACTGCACACCACGCACACATGAGCTAATTAACCCTAACAACCCCCCAGGGAGGTAGCTAAGTATTATTAGCTTTCTCACCAGCCAGCAGAAGAGAAACACCCCGCCTCCTGCAGTTTAGTGACAGGGTGGCACAGTTCCATCCTCCTTTGATATTTTATTGAAAAGTGAATTCTAAAGCATAAGTAATATATATTCATATTTATCAAGTGGGGAATTAGCTGATTAAGATCTTCAAAGTAGATGCCATCCCAGTAATTTTATTTTATTTTATTTTATTTTTTTTGGGGGGCCAAACCACGTGGCTTTATCATACACTCATGGACGAGGTTCTGGGGCCCCAAGAGCGGGGCCCCGGAAGTCGCCCCCAGTAATTTTAATTTAGAAAAATCTTAAGCTTCAGCATTAGGCCTATTAGGCTCAGAGGGTAGGTAATAAATACAGTACACACCATTACTAAAGGCTTCCCTTTGGGAAAAATCTGTTCCCAGAGTAAACAAAGAACCTTCTGAACTTTAAAATATGATTTCCAAATGATGCTTGGTGGAGGCACAATGACAGGAAAGCATGTTCACAGGCGGGTGGGCAGCCCAGAGAGGACACAAGTCAGGGCTCCGGGAAAGCAGGCAGGAAGGGAAGCCAGTGCCGAGAGGCCTTGGCTTTGCTGGTGGTCCGTGTGCCCTGTTCACTCAGGTTTTACTTCCTCCTAGGGAACACCGCCCTCTTGGCGGCCAACCTGTTATTTGAGATGCTGTGTGCTCTCCCCAAAGTGACAACCGTCTGAGTCTTCTCTTCAAGACAAAACAGACTGCACTGCTGACAGATTCCCAAGAATTTATGAGTGAGCAGTCTTGAGTATGAAAGAGTTTATGTCAATAAAACTTTCTGCTCAAAGTCTCTTTTGGTGGCTGTGAAATCAGTGTAATCAGTAAAACTCTAACCCAAACAGCTAACATTTCTTTTTCTTTTTTGAGACAAAGTCTTGCTCTGTTGCCCAGGCTAGAGTGCTATGGCATCAGCCTAGCTCACAGCAACTTCAAACTCCTGGGCTCAAGTGATCCTCCTGCCTCAGCCTCCCACCGGCTAATTTTTTTTGGTTTTAGTTGTCTAGCTAATTTTTTTGGTTTTAGTTGTCTGGCTAATTTCTTTTTATTTTTATTAGAGACGGGTTTTGCTCTTGTTGAGGCTGGTCTCAAACTCCTGATCTCAAGGGATCCTCCCACCTTGGCCTGAACACCTAATATTTCTAAGGAGTTTGGATTAACTTAAAAAAAATGAAGCACTTGTACTGCTTTGATTTTTTTCCTTTGTTAAAAGATGGTGGAGGATAAAGGGGGAGGGGATGGAGAATTTCATTCAATATTATTTAAAAATTGGAAAAATGAATTTAAAAAAGAAATTAAAAAATACTATATAAACATTCCATATTTCCATAGTATCTTCCTTTAAAATACATCTTCTCCTCTGAAGAGATTAGAACTGCATCTTAATTTTAGGACCACTGTGAACATAAATAACAAGTTTGAAAGAAAGTCACATTGAGATCCTAATAAGAAAAGTTCCTGCTCAAAAGCCCAGGAGGTGCACAAAATGTCTTCTAAACCAGAAAATATCAGGGAGCCCTTAATGAAACTTCTTCTAATCCACTTCCTACAAGACTCAGTTTTGCAATATCTGTTCTTCAAGCCAATGTACCCTCTATGACAACAACTCCTGAAATCTGCAGTTAAGCTGTGCTGATCTCAAGCATGTGTTGAGTTACATGCAAATTCAGTTTTGTTGATAATGCACCCATGATCAAATCAGCATCTTGCAATGCAAGGGCTACCCCCATAATTATCACACATTAAAATAGTTTATTTCTGTTTCCAGTCAGTAATATTCTTAAAACAAAATAACATTAGCTTCAGTGACTGTTCACAATACAAAAAACCCCCAAAACAAAAAAAAGAAACACCCAAAACATAAAAAAGACACAATTTGCCAAATAAGTTATTTGTTCCTAAGAGTATCAAAAGTGCAAAATAGTCATTCATCTTTTCAGATGTCTCCCAAATATCATTATCCCACTCGACAAACTGAACAGATTCAGCAGCTACGACACTGTATTTGTTTTCAGGGGAGAATGTCAGATACTTGGATGTGAACTACATTTCATCTGTAAAGATGTTTTGCATCAGCTTTTAAAGAATTCTACTTTTTTTTTTTTTTTTAAAAAAAAAAGGTTCTGAGTGTTTGCTTCCAACCCCTATTGCCAAACAAAGCAAATCACTTGAAACACAGTCAGATCCCATTTCTTTTTATATCAGGAAAACATTTCTGTATTGATGACAGCTGTAAATTGATTAGGACGGTAATAAATAAAAGGGTACAAGTGTGAATGGCTGCAAATGAGGAGGAAATCAACCTATCTGAAAGCTACAGTCAAATTCTCATGGTCCATAAGTGACTGCAGTGAGATCATGGCCCTAATGGAAGTTAGGGCAGTCGTCTTGCTCACTGAAACGTTGCTGAGTTGGAGCTGATGACCTCTGTGTTAGAAAAATTGTGCAACCAACACCTGAGCAATAAAAAAATATTTTTGAAATGGGCATATGTATTCCACAAAGACTTGTTTTAAGCCAGTTTCACCCCATCTGCTAAACATGATGCATAGTCTGTATTAACCAGAAAAACCCACCACTGAAAACATCAGTGTTGATATTCAAAGACTAGGGCATTAACTTAGAACTAGAATTGGGTCCTGTGTGATTACACATATCAGAGACAGAAACGGTGGCACTGGCTGAGGAAAACAGCTCACACCACTGACACAAAAGTAAACAAATTCATGGAAACAACATTCAGCAGGAAAGGCTTGGATGGTAAAAGGTAAAGTTCAATTTAAAATAAAAGCTCCCTATCATCCTCATGGGGACATATCCCCAAATGGATCTGCAGAGGAATTTTTGGACTGAAACGTTTGGCAGAAATTTTGCCAATCTCATCACCACTCTCCTTTCCTAGTGCAAATGGAAGGTATGGCTGCCTGAAGGTGCTTTTTCTTTTTCTCTTAAGAGACAGGCATTCTGTCACTCAGGTTGGAATCTCACAATCATAGCTCTCTACAGCCTTGAACTCCTGGCCTCAAGCAATCCTCCTGCTTTGACCTCCTGAGTAGCAGGGACTACAGGCACGTGCCACGATGCCTGGCTAATTTTTCTTTTCTTTTTTTTTTTTTGAGACAGAGTCTCGCTTTGTTGCCCAGGCTAGAGTGAGTGCCGTGGTGTCAGCCTAGCTCACAGCAACCTCAAACTCCTGGCTCAAGCAATCCTCCTGCCTCGGCCTCCTGAGTAGCTGGGACTACAGGCATGCGCCACTATGCCCAGCTAATTTTTTCTATATATATTAGTTGGCCAATTAATATTTTTCTATTTATAGTAGAGACAGGGTCTCGCCCTTGCTCAGGCTGGTTTCGAACTCCTGACCTTGAGCAATCCACCTGCCTCGGCCTCCCAGAGTGCTAGGATTACAGGCATGAGCCACCATGCCCGGCCCTGGCTAATTTTCTTATTTTCTTTTTTGTAGAGACAGTCTCACTATGTTGCTCAGGGTGGTCTTGAACTCCTGGCCTCAAATGATCTTTCCGCCTCAGCCTCCCAAAGTGCTGGGACTACAGGCGTGAGCTACAGTGCCCAGCCCTGAAGGTGTTTTGTTTTTTTTTGAGACAGAGTCTTGCTTTGTTGCCCAGGCTAGAGTGAGTGCCGTGGCATCAGCCTAGCTCACAGCAACCTCAAATTCCTGGACTCAAGCGATCCTACTGCCTCAGCCTCCCGAGTAGCTGGGACTATAGGTATATGCCACCATGCCCGGCTAATTTTTTTCTATATATTAGTTAGCCAATTAATTTCTTTCTATTTATAGTAGAGACGAGGTCTCGCTCTTGCTCAGGCTGGTTTAGAACTTCTGACCTCGAGCAATGTGCCCGCCTCGGCCTCCCAGAATGTTAGGATTACAGGCGTGAGCCACCGCCCCCAGCCTGAAGGTGCTTTTTATTTTTTAAAGATCAAAGTTTTTAAAATGAACAAATCTAGGGAGTTTTTGGTTTTCAGAAATTAAAGGCAGGTGCTCAGTGCAAAGAGACAAGTAAAATTAAAAAAGAAATTAAAGTCAGGAATTTCATTAGTAACAGAAATTAAACCTACCACCAAATAAATCCAAAGACTACTCTTATGAGCAACCTGCCCATGAAAGACCCAGAAAATAATTTTAAGGACTGGTGTGTAAAGAAGCCAAAGGAATTCCTTGACCATTTCTTTTTTTTTTTCTTGAGACAGTCTTGCTCTGTTGCCCTGGATAGAGTGCAAAACCATCATCATAACTCACTGCAACCTCAAACTCCTGGGCTTAAGAAATCCTGCCTCCTTCTGCCTGTGCCTCCCAAGTAGCTGGGACTACAGGTGTGTGCCACCATACTCAGTTCATTTTTTTTTTTTTTTTGAAGTCAGGGTTTTATTCTATGGCCCAGGCTAGAGTGCAGTGGCATGATCATACCTCACTCCAATCCTGCCTCTGCCTCTCAAGCAGCTGGGACCACAGGTGTGCACCACCACACCATGCTAATTTTTCTATTTTTTGTAGAGACAAGATCTCGCTTTTGCGAAGGCTGGTCTCAAACTCCTGACCTCAAGTGATCCTCCTGCCTTGGCCTCCCAGAGTGCTAGGATTATAGGTGTGAGCCACTGTGCCTGGCTGAATTCCTTGACCATTTCTAACTATAGCATTCAGAGTAAGCCCTTTTAGAGGATCATATGGAAGAATGAAACCTGGCAGTGATTTCTTTATTTTTTAATAAAGCTATAAACTCCATGAAAACTATAGGAATTCCTGGGCTTCAAGAATTTATTACTTACCAATGTAGCTCAATATTTATTCAGGATTCAAGTGGCTTACTTTAAAGCAATTATGATTAAAGAAATACTAACTTAGTAAATGTTCTACCACTGATTTTCACCCTTCACTTTACAAAAGGACAATTTGCTTTGACATTTGAACAGACCACTCTTTGACGTTGCTCAAACTCCGTTGGTGGTTTTGCCCTGTTTTCCAACTGGCTGGTATGATCCAGCCGGGAGTCCGTTATACACTGCAGCTCAGCAAGCTCGGGTCTGACGGTCAGCCCACCCTGATAGTGGTGAAGCAGTTGTAAGTTAAGAGTGAAAACAATTAAGATGAGATATCGAAATATAGGCCAGAAGTGGAAAGCCTTTTGCAAAACAGGAGTCCAGAACAAGTCTTGGCTCACGTGTCACAAAAGACGACTTGAAGATACAGCACTTTTGGGGTAAGAGTGTTCAAAATACAATTGCTGAGAAATTTTAAGTTCCTTGATACAAAGACATGTCTGATATTTTACTAAAGAGACACCACTGGAGTGAAGAGGTTCCTTGAGCCTGACTCATAGCAGGCGGGAATAATTTCTCTTCAGTTTAACATCTACTGGCTTTATAGCAGCTTATCTCTACGCTCAGAGAAGAAGATTATAAGTTATGGCTCCTAATATCCATACTCTAAAATCGATGGAGGCAGAAAGGCATCTGAAAACACACATGTCCACGACTCAATGTCATTACAGTACTTCTGGCTATGCAGACCCCTGCCCTGGCCGCAGGCAGTGCTGGGAGGCAGCCCATGGGGGGCTCGCAGAGCTGCCCCGCTCCAGCCACGGCCAAGGCCTCCTTTCTCTTTTCTTGGAAACCCACATGCAGAACCCCCACTCATCCTTTCCTTTTCAACCGTGGCCAACAAACTGTTGTGGGGGATACCCCCAAAATATACTTTTAGCCACTTACTCCCAGAACAACCATGAAATGTGAGATTGCTGGGAACTAGGCCTCTTTCAAGATGCAGGGCTAGAAGCTGCTGTGGGCTGTCCAGTGTCAAGAGCATGCGCCAGGGCAGAAGCACAGCAGGGCCAGGGTGGTGGGGCAGGGCGTGGAGCTGGGGGACAGGCTCAGGAGGGTCTGTCCAGGTGCTGCTGCAAGGGTGAGCCCTGTGTTTCTCCAACATAAGAGACAGGACAGGGAAGGGTGAGGTGAGCACGTGACAGGGACGACAAAGGAAGAGGGAATGAGCAGTCTGTTTTAAATAGTGCGGCATTCAAATGAGGAAAAAAAAAAACAACCAAAGGAAAATATAGTTTGATCGAGGGAATTCAAACCTGTGGTGTTTTTCACTCCTAGGTTAGAACAGGACAAAGGAAAGATTCTTCTAGCCATTGTTCTCGAAGAGCAATCTAAAATCTATAATCTGTTCGCTGTGATAGTTTCAGTCCTGAAAATACCTGTTCACAGGGGCATGTTAAAAAGTTTGAAGAGTTCAAATCTCTTTTTGAAATCCTCTCAGTCTAGTTCAGGCCATGATGGGATATAAAACCTCTGTAAGGAGCCTTCCAAGAGGCGTTCCATCCATAAGGACAACTTGCTCAATTTTTCTTTGATGGCCCTGGATCCAAGGCCATGGGAAGATTTCCCTCGAGATTCACCCAGGTGGAGGGAAGAGTCAAGATCCCCGCACGATCCCAGGGCTTCCTCCTCTTCCACTGTTTTTTGGGGCTTGAAGAGGCAGAAGTATTTCTTGTGGCCATTCAGAGCCAGCACATAACCAGTGTAGTCACGTTCCATGAAGTGCTTATCATACTGGTTTGGGATCGGGGCTGCATCTTGAGCAAATTCTAGTAAGTATTCTAGCCATTCTCTGTGTTTATCTAGACTCAGGAAGGAGAAGTGTAGGCAGTTGCTCCTGTAGGAAGAATAGAATGAAGTTTCAATATATTTCTAACACATTTAACTGCAGAGAAAATAATTACCCCAGTGAGATTTCTAATACTAGGAAAAGGCTTTGTGTTGGATGGGGCCTGAACACAGAGAAAAATGAAAGATTTCTGTGGGAGCCAGAGGGCCTCTATAACAGCTGTGACACTTCAGTCACCCATCCCCCCTCCTCTGCTAGGTATAACTTATATCACTTGCACTGTCTGGCTTCTGGAAAATACACAGGGTTAGAGAACAGTTTTCTGAAAGGGCTCAGGGAATAACATTGAGTTCTAGCTCTTCTGTTCAGAACCAACAGAACATGAAGTCAAGTGAGAAAAGAGGTCCCTCTCATGATGGCTTTGATGTCTGGGTTAAAAAGGTCACAGCCAACACCTAGCTGCGTGGATAAGGCCCTGATCAGCCAAAAAGGAAGAGGGGGGGCAGTTCTCCTCCAGTCCTGTCTTTACACAAACATGCAGGCTTCCTCCCTCACATGTGCACACGCACACACACACACACACGTATGCATGCACACACACTCACCCAGTGAACGTGTAGACCTCGAAAGCAAATCTCTGTAGTAGGCTGTTCTTGGTGGAATTTGACAGGATGAGGACCACGTTCATGTGGCCCGGCCTCAGGCGTACCAAGTTACTGGTGTATGTGACATCTGTGAGTTCAGTCACCTCCACAAAGCCTTTCTTAGGAATCTTGCTGTGGAGAAACATTGAGGAGTTAAGATATTATCTGGATAGGGGAACACTATTACTTTAAAAAGGAACAAGTGGAAGGAAATGCTACGTTCTAACTAGACTAGATACGTTATTTAACATTCCTGAGCCTCATACATCGGCAAGCTGGGGCAGACCCTGACTTGGTGATCCCTGGCCCACAAACAGCCTCTCTGATGCTGCCTTGCAGATGGCGAAGTCGTGTGGGGACAGAATGAGGCCGGCAGCCATCATGCACTCTGTTCTGTCTCAGAGGCCCTGGCAAGAGGCCAGGCTGTGTACTCACGACTGATCACATTCATCAGCAGTTATGGTGACAAATCATCCTCTGCTTGTGGCAACTCTACCTGCTCCCTGACGTGCTTCTTTGCTTCTTGCCTTCATTGTTAAATCTGAGGCTGGGAAACGAAGTCCCAAAGTGTAAGGTAAGTCAGTGCTGTTTCTAAATACCTAAGGGCCTTAGTAAACACTGGCCGGCAGTGACCGCGTTTGACGCGCAGATGAACCGCAGTTCTTCTGTCTACTATACATCCCGACACTGCTTTATTGGCCCTTGGTCACTGCTGAGGGGAGAGGAGTTTGGGGTTAGTCAGTGAAACCTGCTGTTTTCTTTGGTGAAGCTTGGCTCAGCCTTCCCAGCCTTCTCATGGGCGTCCTCTTTACCTGGAGGGCTTGATTCTCGCTCATCACTTGCCTCGCTGAAGTAAAAAAAAAAAAAAAAAAAAAGGAGTTTCACACAAAAAGTGTACAAACCACCAGGGAGGTTTGGGACTCACCCCTCAGCGTGGCGCTGAGAGGCGGCGGCATTTACCTGAAAGCCTGGACCATGACGGTGCCGAAGAGGACGAAGAGGCCGGAGAAGATCAGGGACAGGAGGGGCATCATTTCCCGCCTAAAACCGAGTTAATAAACTTATTAGCTTGACTTGGGATGTTGTGATTTTAGGTTTCTTCTCTCCAGCTCAAAGAAGAAAAAAAATCCCCAAAAAACTTTCACACCAATAAACACTTTCTAATTTCATGCAAATAGAGGCTTTTTTTTGGTGTTGGGTGGCAGAGGGAAAGGTAGAGATTGTTTCCTCAGTGTTCTAATTCACAGACAGCTTATTCTATTCTATTCTATACATTTATTTTATTTTTATTATTATTATTTTTCTTTTTTTCAGTGTAGATGGGTCATGAAAGATATTTATTTATTTTAGAGACAGAGTCTTGCTCTGTCATCCAGGCTGGCATGTAGTGGTGTGATCATAGCTTATTGCAATCTTTAACTCATGGGCTTAAGTGAAACTTCTTCTCACTTAGCCTTCTGAGTACTGAGGACTAGTCTGGCTAATTTTTAAACTTTTTGTGGATAGGGTCTTGCTATGTTGCCCAGGTTGGTCTCAAACTCCTGGCCTCAAGCAATCCTCCCAAAGTGCTGGGATTATAGGTATGGGCCACTGTGCCTGGCCTCACAGACAGCTTATCCTAAAATTCTGATTTTATATCTCAGTATAATAGGCTGTGTTTAATAAATCCTGCATAAGGAAACAATAAAAGGGATAATAAAGGATTTAAGTTATACACATGGAAGTTCTTTTTTTTTTGAGACAGAGTCTCACTCTGTCGCCTGGCCTAGAGTGCCGTGGCATCAGCCTAGCTCACAGCAACCTCAAACTCTTGGGCTCAAGCAACCCTACTGCCTCAGCCTCCTGAGTAGCTGGGACTACAGCATGCACCACCATGCCTGGCTAATTTTTCTATATATATATATGAGTTGGCCAATTAATTTCTTTCTATTTATAGTAGAGACGGGATCCCGCTCTTGCTCAGGCTGGTTTCGAACTCCTGACCTCGAGTAATCCGCCCACCTCGGCCTCCCAGAGTGCTAAGATTACAGGCATGAGCCACCGTGCCTGGCCCACATGGAAGAACTTTCTGATGTTGAGGTATCAGTGACTAAAAAGGCTGTGGAGAGTTCAAGGTTGCAGTGAGCTATAATGATGCCACTGCACTCTAGCAGGGGCAACAGAGCAAGACTGTCTCCAAAAAAAAAAAAGTCTGAAGTCTGTGGAATTATGTCCTAAATTTTTATCAATTTTATTCTACCCAGAATAATTCAGATGTAGCCCAGAGGGGTGGAGTAGGGTGAGAAAATTGATCTTTCAAGATTTCATTTAGGATTGGTGTTCTAAATTTTGTTCACCACAAACCCTCACCAAAGGCCTGTGGTCTCTTAGGCACTGCACTGGGTGCCAGGAATCACAAACATGAATAACATGTGGTTCTGTCCTCCAGGAAGTCATGGTCTTATTGGGGAGTGGGAGCGGGACAGCCCTTCTCTGATTAATTCACTGACTCATTTGTATATCTGTACACCGGACTCCAGTGAAGAGCAGTCATGGGTGACGCTTTCCTAACCACTGGGAAAGGGTCAGCCAGCAGATATAAAAAAAGTGAAGTGACTACAAGAAAAAGGGGAACAGTTGTTGAAAATGTGTAAACATTCTTCTACTCGCCCATATCAAGCATACACTGAAATTTAAAAACGATGGATTCTTTTCAAATAAAAACAATTATACCAGTATTAACAAAGAAAAAGAAATTCAACCTAGCAGTATCCCTACCAGTTGTTGTAGAACATATTGCTCCAGCAGTACGAGATGTAGTCAGCAGCAGAGTAGAGCCACCGAAGGAGAAAGACCTATTGAGAGAGAAAATGGACGATGGTCAGATCTGAACCCCTCACCCCGCAACACGGCGCTGCTGCTGGACCTCTGCTCTCGGCAGAGATCCATCACCGGAACCATGACCCAGAGCCCTCGCTGGCCATGATGCTCACAGGAGCAAGTTCATCGGTCAGGTCGGGAAGTACAGCTTCAGAGGACAGAAGAGCCGGATCTTTCCGCAGCTGGTCGAGATAACTCAAGAGGATGAATTTATCACTCTCACTCCCGGTCCAGGGATCTTCCAGGGTTTTATATACTACCCTTCCTCCTGTGTTGCGCCTTTCTAAGATAGACACCTGGAAGCAAAGGAGAGGAAAACCATTAGATGTCTCAAAAGCATGCAGTTGTTTGCTTTTTTTTCAGGCAGGATGGAAAAAAGGATCCAGTGAAGTTAGCAATGAGCTCAAAAACAAATACTGATGAATCTAAAGTATTTGCAAAGGATTTAAATCTTTCTGACAAGAGAAATTATTTTTATGCTGACTTCTCAAAGATTTTGTTAAAAATTAAAACTTGGCCAGGCATGGTGGCTCATGCCTGTAATCCTAGCACTCTAGGAGGCCAAGTTGGGAGGATCGCTTGAGATCAGGAGCTTAAGACCAGCCTGACTAGAAGCGAGACCTCGTCTCTACTAAAAAACAGAAAAAATTAGAGCTGGGCATGGTGGCACGTGCCTGTAGTCCCAGCTACTCGGGAGGCTGAGGCAGGAGGATTGCTTGAGCCCAGGAGTTTGAGGTTGCTGTGAGCTAGGCTGATCCCACAATACTCACTATAGCCCAAGCAACAGAGCAAGACTTTGTCTCAGAAAAAAAAAAAAAAGTGGCAGGGCGCAGTGGCTCACACCTATAATCGTAGCCCTCTGAGAGGCCAAGGCTGGCGGATTGCTCAAGGTCAGGAGTTCGAAACCAGCCTGAGCAAGAGTGAGACCCTATCTCTACTATAAATAGAAAAAAATTTAATTGGCCAACTTATATAGAAAAATAATCAGCCGAGCATGTTGGCGCATGTCTGTAGTCCCAGCTACTCGGGAGGCTGAGGCAGTAGGATTGCTTGAGCCCAGGAGATTGAGGTTGCTGTGAGCTAGGCTGACGCCACGGCACTCACTTAGCCTGGGCAACAAAGTGAGACTCTGTCTCAAAAAAAAAAAAAAAAAGGTTAAAACTCTTTTTTCTCAACAGACTTTGTTCTATAACCTCTGACTTAATATTATAATAAAGGAAAACTTTGTTTTTAAGTGAGATTTTCCACGATTACCAAAATGATGAAAAAGTCAAAGAAGAAGAATTTCATGCTTCTGCAAGGAGCAATGACAAGGGAAGAGAAAGGAAGGAGAGATAATTAGGATGAAGTGTAAGAGGCAGGAGGGGAAATCTCCAGAGCATATTACTGGTGGCCTAAAGAAAGACCTGCAGGTCTAGGACCCTGCAAAATGAGACGTGCCATCAGGAAGAACTAGTGAAGGGACTGATGCACGCCAGCATTTACTGATAGGAAAGATGCTTTCTGTGGAGGCCTGAGGCTGAAACCTAGAATGCGAAAGGACCAGGGGAAAGACTGTTTTAAGAGTAGGCTTTCAAAACAGGCTTCAGAGATTTCCACACTTCTTGGAATCCGTACACTATGCTCCCAGGGAAGGAGGAAACAGAATCCAGTGCCGCGTGCTCTGAAGAGCCTGGGATCAGGAAGGATCTGCAGCTCACCACTGATTTCCCCTGAAATGCCTCGCCGTCTGGTATCAAGGTGCTGGCAAACTCGTGCTGCCGATTGCTGTAGACGTGCACAAATCTCACGGTGTCTTGAGTGTTTGCCAGAGCAAAGGACAGGAAAGCCTCGAAGGGTTTGCTCAACTTGGTAGCCTCAGCAGTCAGTAAAACCACACAGTACCTGTACAACACAGAAAAGAGAAAACTTTGCAACCAATCTCTGAGGGCAGGGCCAGCACCTGTAATGGCAAGTGGAGGTGAAGAAGAGGAGGTGCTCATCTTATTGAAATGAATTTTGGAGAGGGAAAGCCGATGTCTCTAATGAGAGAGGATTTTCAAGTCATTAATGACCTGCTTTTTTCCCAAATTGGTGATGTTTTTCCCAAACCACATGTCTTCACGATGTTTAGGAATTTCTTTCAAGGCATGGGTCATTGATTCCTTGATGCAGCAGGGCCTCTTAGAAGCCATGTGTTCTATTTCTTTCACCACAGGGAGGGCTGATCTACTCTGTCTCAGGCCAGAGGCCACTAAGCCTCATTCTGAAAGGCTTCCTTGGCAAGGTTCCAGTGGAAAGTTTTGCTATTTATTTATTCACTCATTCATTCATTCCTTTCCCCAAATATTTACTGAGCAATAACTATATGCCAGGTAGATAGACAACATTCTTGCCTTCGTGGAGTTGATATTCCAGTGGGGAAGACAGAAAACAAACAAAAAGATATATCATGACAGGTAACAAGTGCTATGAAAAAAAAATGAAGGAAAAAAAGGGAGAGAGGGAGGCCAGAGTGGAGTGGGAGTCATAATCCATTAGACAAGCTGGCCTGGGAAGCAACACCCAGGGGACGTTTGAGCAGGGACCTGAATGAAGTGCACGGTGAGAGGAAATGGTCAGAGCATCCCAGGAAGGGAGAACTAGTGTGAAGACCCTGAGATAAAGAATGACTTGATCTGACTCGAATTTTTAAAGATCACTTGGCTGATGTGTGGAGAACTGTTTGGTAGGTACAAGATTGTTTGGGAGCAGGGAGACTAGTTAGGAAGCTGCCACCGTGGTGGCAGGTGGTCTGCTCTAGGGTAGCAATGGTTAAAAAAAAGTGAGAAGTACGTGGATTTGGGGTATTTCTTGAAGGCTTTGTAAACAACAGTCCTTACAGTCAGGATGTTCTCTTTTTATGTCTAATAAAGAAAGTCTAAATTAAAGTTATTCTTTCTTCTCTCTTAGACTATAAAGGAGTCTGAAAAGTCTAGAAACACAGGGAAATTCTTTATTTTAAACAATATTTCAGTTGTATTTTCAAATAATATGGTCAATGTTTTCTCCTATGTCCAAATACCTTTTACAGATGAAATAGCCCTAAATTTAAAGCCATTGATTCATTTATCTCAGAAACATGTAACAAATATTTTCCCTGTATTTCCAGAGTTTTCAGGTATTCTGTATAATAACTCTTCACATACTTCATTGAATAAGTTATACCGTAGCCTTCCCAATTCCCAGCTAATTCAATTCAGTACTCTATACTTCTCAACTTTTTAATTATTATACTGGCTCCTTTCCAAGACCTCCAAAGACTCATGCTGCATGCAATGCTCTAGTAGGGACAGTAACTCTCTTATACTCCATGCTTCTTTAAAGTGACACTTGGCTAAAGTCTGCTCATCCTTCAGGTCTCAGCTAAAGTGTTATATCTTTTTTTTTGAGACAGAGTCTCACTTTGTTGCCCCAGGCTAGAGTGAGTGCCATGGCGTCAGCCTCGCTCACAGCAACCTCAATCTCCTGGGCTCAAGCGATCCTCCTGCCTCAGCCTCCCAAGTAGCTGGGACTACAGGCATGTGCCACCATGCCCGGCTGATTTTTTCTATATATATGAGTTGGCCAATTAATTTCTTTCTATTTATAGTAGAGACGGGGTCTTGCTCTTGCTCAGGCTGGTTTCGAACTCCTGAGCTCAAAGGATCCGCCCACCTCGGCCTCCCAGAGAGCTAGGATTACAGGCGTGAGCCACGGCGCCCGGCCTAAAGTGTTACATCTTAGGGAGATCTTCTCTGACCTCTACACCAGGCTGGCATATCCAATAATCTGGTGCTGTGGTTCCCTGGACTAGTACATTCTACTATCATTATGGTCGTTAATATTTGGTAAAATGATGAATAAATTCTGACTGTCACAGGGTAGATGTTTAATCACCCTGTAGTAAAATGCAAAATGTCCTCTCTGTTGCAATGTCAAGTAGAGGCAAAGCCTTGAGTCCTTACTTCCTCTGTCGGTGAGACCGTTTCACGGGGCAGAGTTCATGGAACAACTTCTGGTTGGTGAGCCTGGCTGCCAACAGATACTTGTTTTGGGCGATGAAATTGTCAATGGCTTGCTTTTTCATGCCTCGGGCCTAGAGAAAAACCAAGAAGCAATTGGTTTTTATTCAGTTTTCTAACTGCAAATGGGCTTTACTTACAAGCTTGATAAATAATGTGGCTGACCTTTGCCAAAGTAATATAACCAAATAAGACAGACCTGTTTGAGCAAATAAACACGTGGTGATCTATTTCAACAATGCAGGGCTGAAAGCAATGATGTGGGTATTTCGAGTCAAAGGAAAAATCAATAAGTATTCTCTTTCCACTGGAGAATTTTTGTATAGTGTTCTATGATGACAAATTTAAAAAGTCAATCATTTTGAATTTTAGGCAAATTTATTTCTATTCAGGATTTGTACCAAATTGAATTAAAAAATAAACCACAAAGCAACATGTTACAACATTAAAGGCAGACTGCAAAACTGCATGATGACCATTTTGTTATTACTAATTTTCATATATTTCAAAGGATTGAAATCATATAGAGCAGGTATTCTGACCACAATGTAATTAATCTAAAACTCAATATAAAATGCAAACCAGAAATATAAACATTTCCCTTTATGTATGGAAATTAAGAAACACACTTTGAATAAAAAGAAAACCTATCAGATTAGAAAATGTTTTGATGGGTCAGGCGCGGTGCTCACGCCTGTAATCCTAGCACTCTGGAAGGCCAAGGCGGGTGAATTGCTCGAGGTCAGGAGTTCAAAACCAGCCTGAGCAAGAGCAAGAACCCCGTCTCTACTATAAAGAATTGTCCTCCTTTGATGAACATAAGTTCTTTTAATATATTTATCACATCAATATTTTCCTTTGTGATTGGTTCTTGTTTGCTTCTGTTTAAGACATCCTTCCCCTACATCAAGGTCATGAAGATATTCTTCTCATAGAGCTTCTAAACATTTTATAGCTTTGCCTTTTATATTTAGGTATTTAAAATCATTTGGGGCGGGGCGCGGTGGCTCACGTCTGTAATCCTAGCACTTTGGGAGGCCCAGGCGGGCGATTGCTCAAGGTCAGGAGTTCGAAACCAGCCTGAGCGAGACCCCGTCTCTACCAAAAATAGAAAGAAATTAATTGACCAACTAAAAAATATATATACAAAAAATTAGCCGGGCATGGTGGCACATGCCTGTAGTCCCAGCTACTTGGGAGGCTGAGGCAGGAGGATCGCTTGAGCCCAGGAGATTGAGGTTGCTGTGAGCGAGGCTGACGCCATGGCACTCACTCTAGCCTGGGGCAACAAAGTGAGGCTCTGTCTCAAAAAAAAAAAATCATTTGGAAATAATCTTAAGATCTGATAAAGTGAATCTCTTCCTTTGTTTTTTGGATTTGGGGAGAGGCCTTTTCTTTAAAAGCATCTTGGCTGTTGGTCGTTTGTATTTTTTGTATACATTTTAAATTCTGTCAAGTTTCATCAAAACAAATAAATTAAAAACTTATTTGGGTTTTATTCAGTTTGTACTGATTCTTTAAATCAATTCGGGGAGGATAGATGTAATAAAAAGCCAAAGTGATAAAACTTTTAGAAGTTCTATGAGAAGAATATCTTCATGGCCTTGTGTAGGGGAAGTATGTGTTAAATTGATTAGGTCTATATAAAATTGAGCTTTTCAGCCTATAAACATAACATATGTTTCATTTGTTTAGGTCTTTTGTAGTATGTCTTCATAACTTTTATCATTTTTCTCTGGAAAAATCTTATTTTTTTCCTAGGTTATATCTAGGTACCTTGTATTTTTTAATACTATTGAAAGAGTATCTTCTTTATTACATTTCTGTTTGCTGGAGTAAGTAATACAATTGATTTTTATAATTTTGATCTTCTGCCCATGGGACTTTTTTTTTTTTTTTTTTTGAAACAGTCTCGCTTTGTTGCCCAGGCTAGAGTGAGTGCCGTGGTGTCAGCCTAGCTCACAGCAACCTCAAACTCCTGGGCTCAAGCAATCCGTCTGCCTCAGCCTCCCGAGTAGCTGGGACTACAGGCATGCGCCTCCATGCCTGGCTAATTTTTTCTTATATATATTAGTTGCCAATTAATTTCTTCTA